AGTAGGGTGTTACAAAATAAACAGCAGGAGTCACTGTAGCGTAGTGGTAAGACACAGGCTTCATAATATGTTGAAGATCCCCGGTTCGAGTCTCATTGGGCCCACATTTTCCCGAGTTTTATGGCCGGAACGGCTGTCTCTATTATGACCTTCCTGTGTCGAAAGAGACGATTAAACTACTCGGTAAAGTAAGCAACAAGTGAAGAAGTCATGGGAGAAATAGGTGAGATTAGTGAGAACGAAATTAAAAGCTTAATTATGATCGGCTCTTGTTACATTGACGACAATGAACAACTTTGAGACTTTAAAAAAAACAATGAATACGTAAATACTGTCAGGAACTTTGACAGACACCTTCAGTTAAACCGAGGGTATCTTTTTTTTAAAATCAATAATTCTCCCCCCTCTTTGGAGTCCAAAATACTCGGCTACGCTCAGGGTTTTGAATGAACTTTGGTGACCCTGCAAACGTGCTCACATGATGACAAGTGACGAGAGCGCGAGCAGATTCACTGACCGGTCACGTTTGCGAGCCCGACAAGCTGAAAATATGACGTTTGATTTTCTTTTCTCTTTTTTTTTTCCTAAAGGACTGTAGTCACAAATATTGATTTAAATCTTAACGACGACACGCCGTTTATACTGTAGTTCACAACCTGCATATCACAAATGTTTCGTTATATCAAACCGGGAAAGGCCGAACGAATAATTCAATCGCGACCGGCAAAAAGGAACTTACTCACCCTATCGGATTTGGTTTTATTTATTAATTATTTCCCTGGGTCATTCACGGGGCAATTTACAGATTTCCTCAAATTCCCGGGTCTCGGCGGTTGGTTTGGTTGGGGGTTTTTTCCTAATTCCTGGGGCCGGGTGGTCACCCTGTCAAGAGGTAAAGGTGATAGGGCAGTTTCTTCAAACTGCACCGAATCTGATGGAGTCAGTCTTGATTGATCTATCGCATTGAAGTCAAGAATTATAAACCCGGTGTTCTGAATGCATTTATATAAGCTAAATTGCTGTTGAATGAGCACTGTTAGCAACTGACCATAACAATGCCCTTCTCCAATGGAGTGGACCTTTTGCGGACGTCGCCGATCGCAAGAAGTCCCTTGTAACTATGCGGCCACCCCCTCCCTGGGTCCCCTTTGTTGTTTTCTTTATGTTAATTAAGACATTTAAACATGATATTTATTCACTGCTGCAACACATGAACCTATAATGGAATAAAAATATGATAAGAAAGCTTTGTAATGACCATGGACTAGTGACCAGTCAAATTTTCACACATGGATATTTTGATCGACCAAATTCTTCAAACCGCTGCCGTTCTAAAACTTTGCTGCCTATCGAGATCATCTTTGTTGTGAGCATGTGATTCATGCCAGTGCATAACGGGAGCTTGGTTTCCGTTTGGAAATAGAAACAAGACCTGTCGAGTTATTTACTTTATAAGGAAAGTGGCCGCATAGTTCTGCCGGCCGCAAACAGTGCCTTTACTCTAGGTCTTTTTATTCGTTCTCCTGCATGTTTTTTTTCTTGGGGGGTGGATTTGTTTTTGTTTTGTTTTGTTTTGTTTTGTTGTTGTTGTTTTTTTTGGGGGGGAAGTGTTGTTGTTTTTTTGTGTTTTTT